CCATTGGGCTGCCAGGAAATTCCTACCATTTACCCATTTTTCTGTCTAGTGTGTCTTGTGGGGAAGGGGGGGCCTTCTATGTCCTGGAAGTTATTTCTTGGTTAGTTAAATGCATCACAGATATCAACCTCTCTGTCCCTGGATTATCTTTTCATTTTTTTTTTAAAATGGATTTCTTTGGTGGCTGGAAAGTTTGAAATGGATCCTAATGGACTATCCCTAAAGTATTCATTTTTTTCCTTATCAAGGGCAGGTTTTCATTTGTCAGGCAGTTAAGTCTGGGGTATGGTTCTCCTCTGTGATGATTCCAGTCAGCCGTGACTTCCCTGCCTTCTGGGTTTGGGGCTCTGCCAGACCCCCCAAATCACCGCTTAGTCGGGGAAGGATGAGGCCAGCTGAGCATGAGTCAGCAGGGTGTGCCTGGACTGCAGGAGGAAAGGGGGACGGAAGTGGTCAGCTCAGACCCTGGCCAGGGGGGCGGGGGTCACCAAGGCAGCCCAGGCCAGGCCGGAAGTGGGTCAGCTGAGGCCTCGGGCTTGAGGCCCCACGTGCTCACTGCCCGGAACCCCAAGCCGCCCCCACACGGCCTGCTCCAGCACCCTGGTTTGCATGCCTGTTCCTGTAATGGTTTCACAGACCATGTGCATTTATGGAGCGCCTGCTGTGTGAGCATGTGGAAGTCAGCTCCCTGATACAGGGGAGATGGAAGCCCAGAATGGGGCAGCCCTGTGGGTGACTTGGTGTAGAGGTCCAGTCACCCAATACCCCAAGTCCTCCTCCTTGGCTGGGTGGGGACCTCGCTGTCTCTGGGTGTCCTCACCCTAAACATGCAACTTAGAAGAAGAAACAGCTAAAAAGTGTCCACATTTTTTCTGCCTCCCTCACTCCCTCTGCCCCACTTTGCCCTCACTGCATTTCTGTTTTTCAGTAATCACCACCAATGCCACAGTGTGTGTGTGTGCATGCGCAGGGGTGTTGGGTGGGCAGCCTGAACCCATCCTTCTTGTCTTCCGGGGGACCAGGACATGTCCAGGCAGGTCTGGGCACTTGCAGAAATTGCTGAATGCCTGGCAAGCTGCCAGGGCAGGAAGGAGTTGGTAAGAAGGTTAGAGAGGGTGTGGGAGAAGGACTAGCTTGGGGTTTCCGGTGTGGTACTTTGCCCTTTTTACCCCTTCCCAGACCCATCCCACTCAAAGTGTCCCAAGATGACCTCAGCATCTTCCCCCAAAACTTAGGGTTTTGAGGAATGCATAGGAGTTCTCTAGGTGTAAATGGAGGGGGGGGGGGGGGGGGGTGGACTTCCAGGCAGAAAAGACAAACTGGGATCAGCAGAGACCAGGGAAAAGGGGTTCAGATGTCCAGCATAAGAGCCTGGCTTTCTCCTGTGGGCCAACAGGAGCCACCAAGAATGTGAGAGGTGGAGGGGGCCCCAGGCAGGTGGGTAGAACTGGAAGGACGCTAGTCTGAGACCCTCACCTTTAAGATGGAGAATATCCAGGCGGGGGCTGAGGGAAACTCTGTGGAGGAGGACAAAGCCCTACCCTTTGAATGAGCCTCCCTGAATATGCCCCGGACCCTTCAGCTGCCTGTCTGTCCTCCATCACAGCTGGGGCCCCCGGTACTGTGCCCCCAGACCAGGAGCTGCTGGTTTCCTGGTGTGTCTCCAGTCCCAAGTCCAGCGCACGGCAGGCAATTCTTAGGAGCCTCAGCCAACAGAGGACCCGGCTCTAGAGGCAGAGAACTGGCAGGATGGGGCCTCAGCTGGAGGGGGAGCCTGACCTTCGGGGGCTCGACATCCCCTTCCCCGTCCGCGAGGCGCTGCGCCCCCTGCTGGCGGGGGAACAGGACACCAGCGCTCCCGCGCCGCCTCTCTCTATAGTGTGAGTGCGCGCGCACAGCCGCGTCCGACTCCGCGAGCCCATGGACTGGAGCCCGCCAGACTCCTCTGCCCACGGAGTTTTCCAGGCGATGAGTGGAAGTGGGCTTGCCATTTCCTCCTTCAGGGGGTTTTCCCGACCTAGGGATTGAACCTGGCGCGTGGCTTCCCAGGTAGCTCAGTGGTAAAGAATCCGCCTGCCAACGCAGGAGACACAAAAGGGACGCGTGTTGGATCCCTGGGTTGGGAAGATCCCCCAGGAGGAGNCACTGGGTATCACTCTGCATGTGTGCATGCTTAGTCGCTCAGTCGTGGCCAACTCTTTGCCCCGCCATGGACTGTAGCCCGCTAGGCTCCTCTGTCCATGGAATTTTCCAGTCAGGAATACTGGAGTGGGTTGCCATTTCCTCCTCCAGGGGCTCTTCCCTACCTAGGGATTGAACCCACGTCCCCTGCATCGCAGGCAGATTCTTTACTGCTGAGTCTTCAGCGAACGCAGGGATCAGCATGGCCAGGATTCAAATCTTAGCACCTACCACCCACCCCCCACCCCCGCCTTGCTGTGTGACCATAGGCAAGTTACTCAGCCTCTCTGTGCATCAGAACCAAGGCAGTGTGTTGGTTGTAGGACAGAGGACAATCGTTATAGAAATCCTCGTATAGTTTTTACCCAGGGCACCCATAGCAGCTGCTGCAGACCTACTCTCAGGTCACACACCAAGATAGAAACCCTGGTGATGTGGGGGCCCCCCTTCCCACTAATGACCCCAGGCTGAGGATGACCTTTGTGGACGCAAGCTTCTCAAAAAGACATGCCAGAAAGCTGATATTTCAATGCTTTACTTGCTTTCTGGGGCATCAAGTTTAGTGTCTCCCGGGGTCCAGCCCCCAGCAAAGTCTGGCAGACCCTTGCCCACCCCGGGGTCCCAGACACGGGGCTTTCAGACAAGGCACTCAAGGGATCTCCCTGGGGTCGGGGAGAAGCCACCCCAAGCCTGCAGGGGCTGGTCTCTCCTTTGGGGACAGGACACAGGGTCACCTCCAGGAGGCAGGGCTCTTCCTGGAGAGAGATTTACGACAAGATAGAAACCTGAGATGTGGAGGGAGCCCTGGAAACACGCCAGGTACCCCCAAGGCCCAGATGGATCTCCTGTGGCCTCCAGCCAGGCCTTGGGAGCAGAGAGGTCAATTCCCCGCTGGCTTTCCCTGGGGCTTCCTCAAAGGGTGCAGGACCCAAAAGCCCCTGGCCCAGGTCCCACCCCTGTGAACGGCTTGGGTGAGCCCCACCCAGGGGAGCGGGGAGCCAGGGTCTGGGGGTGTTTCTCTCTTTCCTGTCTGTGCCCCACGTGTACTGTGGGGGCAGGCACTTCTGTGGGTCTCTGGGCAGCTGAAGGGGAGGCTTGGGTGAGGAGAGGGAGGAGGGGGAACGGATTTCAAGTCGGGGGAGCGGCTCAGGCTGGACTGGAGCCCCTGGAGGTCTGGGAGCTTCTGAAACTCAGTTGCGACCACTACCCCCGAATTGGAGGATGGGGTCTCTGAGTGGCGTTCATCCAAGAAGCGACTCACAAGACGTGGAGTTGTGAGGGGGGTCCTGGCCTCTAACACACTTTCTTTATGCAGAAATGGAGACGCTTCTCCTCCCTTTACCAGGCACTTGTTCCAGGAGACGGGAAATTTAACTGGGGATATAAAATCAAAGCCCTTTGCGGCTCCACAGAAGCCTGTGGATGAAGGCCATGGGGCTCGTGGCCACGAGGGGAGGCACCTCCATCAGAACCCCAGGCTGGCTGCAGGCTCAGGAGAGCTTCCAGTGGTCTCGGGGGGAGGCTGGGGCCACAGAGAAGAATGAGGCTTTGTTCCACCAACCCCGACAACGACAAGGGACTTCTGGGTTCAGACATGCCAAGGGGCGGGGAGGTCAAAGGTCAACAGTCTAGACAGCAGCAGAGAAAAAAAGAGGCCAGTGTGGTGGGCCGATTTCCAGGAGCAGCTCCCCTCCCCCTCCCGGGTACCCCTGAGTCGGGAAGGGGGTGGGGAGCACAGGCCTGGGGGGTGCACGGGCACAACCTCTGGCCGGGCTTCTTGGCAGAAACCTCCAAGGTGAGAAAAAGGCATCACACGTATACTTTTCAAGTCATCCCCCTGAGCAGGTCCTTTCTGTTCGAGAAGTGTTCACACCAGCAAAGAGCAGGGTAGCGAAAACTATTTTTCTTGCTGAAACTATCAGAAAGGTCAGAGTCTGACCTTACCCCCAAAGACGTGGCCCTGACTGGGGGCTCCCGCCTCCCCCGCTGCCCCGCGGCCCTGTGTCTCTCAGTGACCAGGGCACCTTGACTGTTTCTTGACTGGACCACATGAGCCAGGTCGTACCACTGGAATTCCAGGTTCACCCACTGGCATTGCTGCTTCTTTCCACCTTGCTTGCTTTCTATCCACTCCTTTAAATTTCTTTTTCAAACTACATACTCATGCACAGACCACCAACCTTCTCTTTGGTGGGATGGGGGAATCAAAGGGGCTAAGAAAAGAATAAAGTTGTAAGGGGCAGAGGTTCTGGCATCTTAAGGGAGATGCCATTACCTAACACCATCCCCCACCTCTGTACCCTCCACAGGAGCTTATCAGAGACAGGACCCCCTCCACTTTTCAGCATCACTTTTCACCTCTCCTCTACCAGCCTTCCCACGACATTGCTTAGCCCATCTTTCCACCGTTCACACTTACTGCACCCACCCCTTCTGGCATCNAGCTTATCAGAGACAGGACCCCCTCCACTTTTCAGCATCACTTTTCACCTCTCCTCTACCAGCCTTCCCACGACATTGCTTAGCCCATCTTTCCACCGTTCACACTTACTGCACCCACCCCTTCTGGCATCGCTCACCTTCATATCTTCCAGGCTGCGCCCACTTCACAGAACCATCCCATTGCCTGTTCTGCGCCCCACCCCACCCCCAATCTGAGACTCTGAAATGACAAGGGAGAAGTAACGGGACTTGGCCCCGCTTTCTTACACAAGGACATTTCAGTCCAGGACTCAGCAAATGCAGACAGATACGCCATGGAGTGAATGGATGAATTTGCCCAAAAGGAAAAAGATAAATTAAAACAGGAACATTAAAAAGCTGGCAGGGAGCAAGTGAAATATTTAATGGCTGTCTGATTGAATAAAGACGAGCTATATGCTCTGCATCGTGAACAAGGACAAGGCTTTGGCTTGACTCGATAAGGAGATCTAACACCATTGCAGGAACACAAAAATGACACGCACACACGATAATGATCAGACAATAAGTTATTATCTCTAAGTGGCTAAATCTCATGTTGCTTTAAACAGAGAGAAGAAATGAGGACAAAAGAAAGGTGAAAATGCAGAGCCTGGGGATGGTGTGTCTGGGTTCCAGTGGGTGCCCAGCTTAGCTCAAACCTGACTCACTTCCAGCCCGCCCTTCCCTCTGCAGCTTGCCTAGGCCCATTTCTTCCTCAGAGCCTCCCCCCTCAGACCTTTAGAGAACAGAGCTCATTAGAGTTTAATGCCATTCTGAGTGAGACCTCTGGGAGACCCTCATTTAAAAAAGCCACAAGCTCCACTCACAGAAGCTGGCTGACGGAGTAGATCAATGACGTCCTGCGCCCAGACTCCTCAGCAGACTGCGAACGCAGACTGGGGTGTGGAGGAGGGAGAAGGTCCCGATCGTTTCACCCTGCAGGGCATGGTCCACACCCACTGCCATCTGCTGACCCCACATTACTCTTCCCTTCCAGAGAAAACACAGGACTCAGAAAACGCATTTCACTCAGAAACCCATCAACCTGGTCTCCGAGTGGCACAGAAGCTCAGCGGAGGCAGCAGCTACCCTGGGCTTCGGAACAGGAGGGAAAGAGGGTGGACATATAAGAAAACAAAACAAATGTTTTCAGAAGAACCGCCTGCTGGGAGACACCAACGTGATCTAACACCACATCAGACACCAGCACGCCTCACACATAGGGAAGAGATCAAACTGTGTGTTCTCCAAAGAAACAGAGGAATACTTTCCAAACGGTTGTTTTCCTCATGGTTGCTGCTGCCAACCCCCTCTCTCTGATGGGTGTCAAGGTCCAGCTGAATTTAGTTGCCTCCTGGGAGATGCGCATCCCTGGCTGGTCAGTTCAAAATCATCAAGGAGTGAGATAAAAATTTACCAAGTCCAAGGCGTGTCCAAAACTAAGCTGCACGAAAGCTCGCTGGCCGCCCTGCAGCCCTCCCGGCCAAACACACCAGCACACGCGGAGCCCAGCGCCAGCCTCCATTCTGCCCCCCTCCTGAGGGCAACAAGAAGCTGGGCCCCCAGACCAAGACTGAGGATCCAGGCCAGATGTGGGGTAGGTTTCTAGTTGCTACACACTTTTACATATTAAAAAAAAAAAGTGTGTGTGTTGAAATGACAGTCTGCTTTCCCACCAGTGGCCCACCTCCGGAGGTCCTATAGGCACAGCTCACAGCTCGGTTGTTAAAGGATTAGCCAACCCCTTCAGTCTCCTGGGGCAGCAGCAACTCCCTCTCCCCGTGGTCTGGCCAAGGGCCTAGCCTCCACCCCCGCTGAACAAGGGGATCTTAATGTCACCCCCAAAACAAAAAATGTAGGTCCAGTGTTCAAAGCCAGAGGCAGAAGCGGCTACACTCCAGGAAAGAGAAAAGACACTTTTGTGTTCGGCTAAAGCCCGTATTTTGACCAAAGGGAATATAAATAACTCTGTGCCCAAACTGGCACTACTGCTTTTAAAAACAGAATAAGAAAGAAAGAAAAAGAACCCGTGCCAGATCCCAAGTTGGTCCTTGCCGGAGCTGTCCAGGCTGTTGGGACATGGATCAGGGCAAAGGGTGTTCGTGAGGATTTTCAATTTGGGAAAAAAACCAGTCATGGACAGAGGGAATTCTGGAATCCTTCCACCACAGACTTAGAAAAGCAGGTGGCCCCAGCCATCCCAGAGTGGAGATCCACCTGATCTGGGTTCTCGGTAGAAATCAGGACTTCCCAGCTTCCTGACTGCCCCAGCTGTATCCCCAGGTGCAAAGAGAAATAGAAAATAAAATCTTCAGTTGCTGCCTTCCAACCAACCAGCGCTTACACAGAGAAAAAGGGAGAGGAGGTGTGCAAGCTGGCATATTTGATCCAAGTCAGAACCCCAGCTGGATGTGCTTGTCTTGCCCGGTCAGGGCCCGGGGGGCGGACGTCTCTCCCAGGCTCCTCGGCAGGATGAGGTCTTGGGAGGCCTGGGCAGCCGTCAGTGTTCATGGCAACAGTTGATTTTGCCTTCTGATTGCTCTAGGAGGTCCAGCATCTCCTCAATGATGGCCCGAAGTGCCCGGCCCAGCTGGTCTGCATTGTACGGCTTGCCCAGAGGGGGCACATGGACAAAGGCCGAGCGGCCGTGACTCTGGTACAGCGAGGTATAGTAGGTGAAGTCGCAGAGGTACCTAAGCCATAGGGCGTGGGGGATGGGAGGGAGACCAAAATAGGGTTAGAGTGAATGTTCCATCCAAATCCATCAGAAGACAGCCCCTCAACCTCACCAGTCAGCTGCAAGACGGAATACTGCTCCTCCCTCCCCAGACAGCAAAAACGAAAAAAAAAAAACCACAATAACTCCAAGTGCTGGTGTATATGTGGAGAAAGAAGCAATATGAGACACTGTTGCTTGGGATGCAAATTGCCCCAGGGGAGGGCAATCTGGCAGGCTAGTAAAATTACAGGTGTACAATATTCAATGTCCTGTGATAAACCATGATGGAAAAGAATACAAAAAAGAATATATGTATATTTATACCGTGTGTGTGTATATATATATATATATATATACACATACATACACATAGATATGGGCTTCCCTGGTGGCTCAGATGGGAAAGAATCCACCTGCAATGTGGGAGACCTGGGTTCAATAGCTGGTTTGGGAAGATCCCCTAGAGAAGGGTACAGCTACCCACTCCAGTATTCTGGCCTGGAGAATTCCATGGACAGAGGGCCTAGTGGGCTGCAGTCCATGGGGTGGCAAAGAGTCGGACACGACTGAGCAACTTTAACACACACACACACACACACACAGA